AGGCAGTGCAAAAATGGCGTCCGTACTTACTGGGGCGGAGATTCACCATTCATACCGATCAACGAAGCCTGCGAGAACTCATGACACAAATTATTCAAACTCCTGAGCAACAGTATTACTTGTCAAAACTCTTGGGGTATGACTATACTATTGTGTACAAACCAGGTGCCTCTAATCAGGTTGCGGATGCTCTGTCTCGAGTGGAGGAAACACCTGCTATTCTATTGGCCCTTACTGTTCCACAATTCGAGTTTATCACCAAACTCAAGAAGGCCTACCTACTGGAACCAGATGTGCAGCTGCTATTACAACAGTTGGAGGCCGAACCCCATTCCCAACCACACATGAAGATCGTGCAAGGGTTACTGCTATACAAGGGCAAAATTTTTATCCCATCCCAATCTCCACTTAAGCAGTTATTGCTATCCGAATTCCACTCTTCCCCTCTAGCTGGTCATATGGGGATTAGCAAGACTATTGGACGCCTCAAGGAAAATTTCTATTGGCAGGGAATGAAGTCTGATGTGGCCACTTTTGTTAAGCAATGTTTGGTTTGTCAACAGATAAAATCTCCTACCCAGGCTCCCATTGGGTTGCTGCAACCAATTGATATTCCCAAGCGGGTATGGGAGGATGTCTCTCTAGACTTTATTGTTGGGCTCCCTTCTTTCCAAAATCACACGGTGATACTGGTCGTGGTGGACCGTTTCTCTAAGGCTGCCCACTTTGGGATGCTTACTACTCATTTTACAGCAGCTAAAGTGGCAGATGTGTTTGCTCAACTGGTTTGTAAATTACACGGGATGCCCAAAAGCATGATTTCAGATCGCGATCCAATATTTTTAAGTCATTTTTGGCAGGCGCTTTTCAAACTCAGCGGCACCAAGCTGCGTTTATCAACAGCTTATCACCCTCAAAGTGATGGCCAGACAGAAGTGGTCAACCGTACGGTACAGCAGTACCTTCGCGCTTATGTTCATGAGCAACCTCACAACTGGGGTAAATTCCTCCATTGGGCTGAATGGTGTTACAACACCACTATCCACTCTGCTACTGGCATGACTCCTTTTCAGGTTGTCTATGGAAGGGACCTTCCTACTATACCAGCTTACACTTTGGGTAGTAGCACTATAGATGCTGTTGATAATGAGCTAGGAAACAGGGAGACTATACTAGCCAGGCTTAAGCACCGTCTTCTGAAAGCTCAAGAGAGCATGAAGAAGACAGCTGACCAACATCGTCGTCATCACGAATTCAACGAAGGAGACTGGGTCATGGTTCGACTAAGGCCTCGGTATCAAAGGTCCATTCTCAGAAGCTTGCTAAACGCTTCTATGGACCGTACCAGATCAGCCGCTGCATTAACCCGGTAGCTTTCGAGCTGGAGTTACCTCCAGGTTCCAAGATTCACCCTGTTTTCCACGCATCCTTGCTAAAGCCCTTCTTCCCAGCTGACGCAAGTGTCCCTGACCAGCCCTTACCTCTACCCGACGTTGCCATTAGGAATCAACCAGTAATCCAACCGTTGACGGTGCTAGATGTGCAGCCTGGGTCTGGACCAAAAACGACCAGGGTGTTAATTCAGTGGCAAGGGTTGTATCCAGAAGATGCATCTTGGGAAATACTGTCCGATCTGCAACTAGCATATCCTTCTTTCCACCTTGAGGACAAGGGTGGTCTTGATGGAGTAGGGGATGATATGAGCCCACAACTTGAGGAAACGTTGGGCCAGTATAGTGAAGATACAACCCATGAAGAAGAAGACACAACAGCTGAGCTGGATCAACAAGTTACACCAAAGGCTAGGTGGGCCAAGCGCCAGAAGAGCAGACCAAAATGGATGCGTGATTACCACATGGTCTAGAGCAAGGTGACTGAGACTTCTAGAAGGGATTGCATCGTTGTAATAAGTTAGTTAGCGGATACACCGCTAGGTGTGGACGCTGCTTGTTGTTTAGTTCTTTCTTGCATTCTGTTATGCTTGTGTGAGGAGTGAAGCTCACTGAACATCTGTATTTAAACACCTTGAGTATTCCTTGAATGGATAAGCAATCTTCAGTATTTTTTCTTATTATATTTTATTCTTGTTAAGGAGGCTGCCTCACCCTCGAAGTGAGGTCATATCAAAGGAACACATCATCCCAATTCAGAACCTGATTATGCTTCTATCTTCTTTGCAAGTTGCTCCTAATCCACTCATTCTCATTCGCAGTGAAGAAGTCTATGCATGAGCTTCCCTCCAACCAAGATTCCCAAATAGGTTTGGCTAGCTTGCAATCCCTCAGAACATGCAACGTATCCTCTATCTCATTGACACACTCATGACAGTAAGGGCTCCCACCCCATTTCGTCGTGTATTCCTTTGTAAGGATTCTTCCTTGGAGCACAATCCAAATAAAGCTCCTTAGTCTATAAGGCCCTCTCCATCTCCAAATGACTTTCCATATAGGATCACTTGCCAGATTATCGAAGCCCATTATTTCATTATACGCATTCTTCACCAACCGTCTCACTCCTGACCAGCTTTTCTGAATCAAATTGTCTCTTCCTCTAGCTATTGAAGGGGGGATGATAGATCTAATGTGCTGAATCACCTCCTCCTGTAGAAAATTGCTCAGGATCTCCAGATTCCACTCCTATGTCTCCTCTTCCACCATCTCTGAAATCTTCATCATCAGTTCATTATAGTTCAAAGGACACAGAGTGATCTCTTCCAAAGATTGCTGAAGACTAGTTCAGTTATCCTGCCAAAACAAGATATCACTGCCATCTCCGGTTTCCCATTGAAGAGATTGCAAGAAATCCGGCCAAATGTCCACTAACCCTTTCCATAAAGAGGAGTCATAGCTTGCAGCCTTGATTCCTCTTTTCATGTCCTCTTTTCTCCCATACTTTCCTATAAGCACATGAGCCCACAATTCCTCTTTGTTCTGCAGCAGTTTCCAGGCAAGTTTGAACATAAACGCCTTGTTCTGCGATTGCAAGTCCGTTATTCCCAATCATCCACACGTCCTCGGGTTGCACATAGCCTCCCACTTAACCAGATGGGGTTTCCTTTTACTAGCAGTGTCCCCCCATATGAATCCTTTTTGCATCTTTTCCACCTCCTTGCAAATAGAACTAGGGATTATGTCATACTGCATGTGATAAGCAGGGATAACACTTATCACTGATTTAGCCAAGGTAGTTCTACCTGCAAAGGACATCAGCTTACCCTTCCAACCAGCTAGGCGTTGCCTAACTTTTAGGATTACACTCTCAAATTTCCTTCTTTTGCCTCTTCCATAAAACAACTGGACCCCAAGATATTTCCCAAGATACTCAGCCTCCTTAAATCCACTAGCTTCTATGATGTCTGTTTTGGTTTCCAAAGGAGTATTTTTAGAAAAATAAATGACAGTTTTCTCAACACTCACAGCTTGACCAGACATATAACAAAATTTGTTCAGGCACTCTAACATTACCTTCATCTGTTCGAGGGATGCTTCTCCAAAAAGAACTAAATCATCAGCGAACATAAAGTGAGAAATTAGAGGCCCATTTCTTCCAACCTTCATTGCTTTCCAGTTCACCTTCCTAGTTTCCTCTTCTATCAAGTGGGATAGCTTGTCCATACATAGAACAAATAAATAATGGAAAATTGGGTCTCCTTGCCTAATTCCCCCAGTGGTACAAAAACTGTCCAATTTAGATCCATTCCACAAAATTCTAAAGGAAGGAGATGTTATACACTCCCTGATAACATTTACCAGATAGCTAGGAATTCCAGCCTCACTTAGCACTGCTTCCACAAAGTTCCAGTTTAAACGATCATATGCCTTAATCAAATCTATCTTGATAGATATAAAAGTTTTTTTTACCTCTCATCCTATTCATGGCATGGGTTATTTCCTGCGCAATGATCACGTTGTCGTGGATGTTCCTTCCAGGGACAAAGCTGGTTTGGAAAGGACACACCAACTTGTTCATCACTGGCTTCAATCTGTTGACTATAATCTTAGTGACTGCCTTATAGAAGGCATTGCATAATGAGATAGGCCTAAATTGCCCAATATTCTCTGGGTTCTCAATCTTTGGGATGAGCACAATGAATGTTTCATTAGCTTGCCTTATCAGATCCGGGCTTTCAAAGATCCTTTCTACGTCTTCCGTCACTTTTTCGGCTATGATCTCCCAGTTCCTTTTATAGAATTCCGCGGGGTAACCATCTGGTCCTGGAGCTTTATGATTTTCCATTTGAAAAAAGGCATTCCTGATTTCCCCCTTGGTTACAGGGCTCCTTAATCTCCTCACTTCACCTTCCTCTAGCTTCGGCCAGCCAGATGGTGAAGGTTCCCATTGTCTGCTCTGGTTTGTCTCTCTAAACAGCTTCCTATAGAACTCCAAGACCAACTCTTTCAACCCCGTTTCATTTCTCACCCAGCCTCCATTTTCAATCCTCAAAGCCTCCACCTTATTCCTTCTCCTTTTCGAGATAGCGATCGTGTGGTAGTACTTGGTATTTCTGTCGCCCCCTCTAATCCAATCTGTTCTGGCTTTATTATACCAGAGCTTTTCTTCCAATTCCACTCTGATATCTGCCTCCTTCCTTTCCAAGAAGCAATTATGGCCATTTTTAACAAAACCCATAGAAACTGAAAGAATACTCTGGATTCTCATTGATTGACTGAAAAGAAAAATATGAAAAACTAAAACTAATGAGTTAACTCCTAAGCTCTTATATACATGAGCTATAACCTAAAAACGCGGTAACTAAAACTAACTGAAGATAGTTACAATAACTAAACGTAACTGAATAAATAATTCAACAGCTCCTTCAGTACTCTAGCGTAGGTGAATGGAGCTCATATAGCTATATGGCTGGCTATCTGTAATATCCCCCCTCAAGTTGGGAGGTAAATGCAAATTTGGTTTAGGAATTAGGCAATGGCTTTGTAATTATTAGGAAGAGTAATAGTAATAGGATCAATTTTGTTTAATGAACAAAATAAAGAAGCAAATCAACTTATATGATCGGTTGCCCCAGTGTCGATGATCCAATGCTTAAAATTCTTACCAGAATTGGTGTTGAAAGCTACACCATGCACATCATGTTTTGCTTGAGCAAAGTGTGCAGTATGAGAGTTGTTCTCCTCTACTGTATCAACTTTCGATTGATTCATCAACTGAAGAAAATTCTGATATTCCGATTGAGACAGAGAAACTTTATTCTCTTCATGAGATTGGACGTTTTCATCTGATACATCAATTGCATTAGCGGAAGCAAGTTTCCAGTTGTTTCTGAATCCAGGTGGATAACCGTGCTTAGCATAGCACGTCTCAACTGTGTGATTGGTACGTCCACAATATGTACAAAGCTTTGTCCCACGTCCTCGTCCTCCAGTTCTACCTCTGCCAAAAGGTACTGTGCGAGGTCGTTGCTGTTCAGCTACATATGTCTTAGTTCTTTGCTGTTCAGCTACGTATGCCTTTGATCCAATTGAAATTTCTCCTGAAACACCTTGTTCAAGATTCATCTGGCGTTCTTGTTGAGAGATTAGAGAAAATGCCTTGTTCATATTAGGCAATGGCTCAATGAGCATTATTTAGGAACGTACGTGTGAAAATTGGTCATTAAGACCTTTCAATAATCATATCACCTGATCTTGCTCTCTAGATTTTTTCAACTTATCAGAAGCTCCACATACGCATTTTGGTAATGGCTGGAGATTATCCAGTTCATCCCAAAGTGTCTTAAGTTCAATAAAGAAGTCACTTACTGAAGAATTGCCTTGATGAAGACGATGAATGTCTTCTTGTATATCAGCTATCCTGAAGATATCCGATTGTGAGAATCGTTCTTCAAGATCTTTCCAAACTTCATGAGCTTTTTCAATCCAAAGAATTGACTTAGCAATCGATGATTGAATTGAGTTATGAATCCAAGACAGAACCATGGTGTTGCACTGGTCCCATGCTTGGAAAGTTGGATATGTAGCTTAAGGGGATAGTGAACGTTCCACAACAAAGGAGATTTTATTCTTGGACCGCAATGCCATTTTCATTGCTCTAAGCCAAGTATGGTAATTCTTACCATCGAGAATTGGATTAACAAGCACAACCGAGGGACTCTCACTCGAAAGCAGATAAAGAGGATTTGAAGGGTTTGTTAGATGTTCTGGAAGAGAAGCCTGCTTTGCCATGGAGAAAGAACTTTCGGAGAAGAAAGAAAATCAAAGAAAATGCAAGAAAATGCAATACCAGAGCTCTCTTCAAAGCTCTCTACCATAACAAAACCTATAGAAACTGAAAGAATACTGATTCTCATTGATTGACTGAAAAGAAAAATATGAAAAACTAAAACTAATGAGTTAACTCCTAAGCTCTTATATACATGAGCTATAACCTAAAAATGCAGTAACTAAAACTAACTGAAGATAGTTACAATAACTGAACGTAACTGAATAAATAATTCAACAGCTCCTTCAGTACTCTAGCTTAGGTGAATGGAGCTCATATAGCTATCTGGCTGGCTATCTGTAATAATTTTCAAGCTTTCGCTGAACTCCATCAATTCTCCTAAGGATATTATTCTTCTTCCTGAAGATATTTCCAAAGGTTTCAGCATTCCACTTCCGTAGTACTGGGATCAAGCTTTCCAAGTTCTTACTGGTATCTAACCTCCCATTCCAGTTTTCCTCAATAACTCCTTGCTATTTTGAACGACGTGTTTGATATGAAATTTTATATAATTACGACTAATAAGAAAAAAAAAAAATTTAAACGTATCATAAAGTTTTGAATTTACTACCCGTAACAAACAGTGATATATGTCAACGAATCCAAATTTGTTCCTAACAGTTTGATTTTTAAAATTGTATGAAATAACTATTTCCCAGGGCATGGTGAGTTTTATTTATGCACAAATATAATTTATGGGTGTATATGTGTGTATAACAAATATTCTTTCCTTTCACTTTTGTGTTTGGGAAAACGATTTGATCAAGATCCTTTCATGTTACTTATTAACTTCAGGGTTATATTATAAGCAATGTTGTTAAGATCGAGATTTTAAGTAAAATTGAAAAGAGATTAAAAAATCGTAAAACGTAAAATCGTAATGTAAAAAAATCGTAAAAAATCATAAAAACGTAAAAGCGTTTGGAGTATTGGTAAAATCGTTTTGATGAAAAAAAATCGTAAAAACATAAAATCGTAGTGATAAATTAAAATTTTAACAACTATAATTATATGAGAAAAAGACACAAAACCAAAACTAATGGATCTTACTATAATTATGTTTGTGTCTCTATAAATTGTTCAATGCCCTTCAGTTCCCCTTGCACTAGTTTTAAGCTGAATCAATGAATTGTTTCACACACACTCATCACTTTTCTCATATAAATTTATATTTAATTGCTATTAGATTTATTTTACAGTTTTTATAAATGGGATAGGATCAACTTACACCGGTGTAAGAATAATAAATCTTACACCAAATCTTAACCGTTGATTTCCGTGCATCCAATGGTTGAGATTTATTGGGAATTAAAAATTAATTAATGAGTGAGACCTAATAAATCTTAACCGTTAGATGTAGAAAATCAATGATTAAGATTTGGTGTAAGATTTATTATTCTTACACCGGTGTAAGATGATCTTGCCCCTTTATAAATTATAAGTAAATATTTTGTATAATGTCTTAAATACAATTTAAAGCTTACACCTATTAAATTTCACACCTGGAAAGTTTAAATCTATCTTTTGGTTAGCGTAAGTACCCAATTTGGGTATGTAACTCGTCCCATGATGCTATCAATGCAAACAACCTTTTTTTATTTTTATTTTTTTAAACTTTTTGGCTGAACTGTTATTGCGGCTGATTCAGTTTTGCTTTTACTTTTTACTTTTTTTACAAATTAAATTAATTTTTACTGCTGTCAAAATGTCATTGAGAACCCAGATATTTTAATATTTATATTAGTTGTACATAAGAAAATAACTCCCGTAACTCACGTAAATTAAATTATTGTTGATTTTCTTCTCTTTCTTATTTATGAATACTACTAACATCAATACATGTATGCGAACAAATTTTTTGCAAAATAATCATTTCATTTTTCAAAATCCACATCGTTGCAAGAATCAACTTGTCTTGGGCTTCTGGTAGATTAATATGAACTAACCAATAAATATAATTAGTCAAACTTTTTGAAATCATTGAAAAAGATAGCTATGTCTAATTAAGTACAAATAGACAATTCATATATAGTTGCCGTGTGCAATTGGAATACATATAATACATTGTACATATGCAATGTTATTAAAATCGAGATTTTAAATAAAATTGGAAGGGATTAAAAAATCGTAAAACATAAAATCATAATATAAAAAAATCGTAAAAACATAAAAGTGTTTGAAATATTGGTAAAATTATTTTGATGAAAAAAAATCGTAAAAAACGTAAAATCGTAGTGATAAATCGAGATTTTAACAACTACGGTACATACTATATAAATATCATTTTAAAATAATTAAGATATTGAATGAATATATATATTTTTTATTAAAAATTTTCGAATATGAATCACGCAAAAAAATCCCTTAACTATTTAAGGATAACGAATCATACTTTTACCACGAAACTATACTCCTATAATGTAATTATTGTACATAATGGGAGCTTTTGTCAAAGTGGAGAGTAAGTTGTAATTAAGAAATAAAAGTATAATTTTCTACTAATTAGAATATTGACGTGTTTAATAAGGAACTTCCTAAATGGAATTATGAAAGGGAGCCATTTTTATTTTTGGATTTCTTTTTCTGAAGATATTTTATTTTAACAGATACATCTAAATTTTTTTATTAAATTCATAACATAAAATGCTTTGTGAGAAAATGAAGTCAATCCTAACAATTTAATTTTTTATAAAAGGCAAGAGTAAAAAACTTAATCACGTTCTCTCTCTTTACGGTAGCAAATGACTAAACTGCCTGTTTAGTTCAATTCTTCGTTAATCGTTACGACAAATGGTTGCAGAAACGTACACGTTTATAGGATGGAGATATTTTCCCCCATTTTCCAACTTCCATTGCTGTTTGGCTAAATTGAAGTAATAATAGCATAAGTCATCAGTTACAGCAACCTGTAATTAAAGATGTATATATATTATTATAAATGTTATTTTTATACTTAACTTCTATACCAAATCTTACATTTTTTTTAGAAAAAGAAAAAAAGCATTGAAAAATAGGATAAGTTATTTTTACCACTTTTTAATATATATTTTTTTCTTGCTACGAAAAAGGTGTAAGTTCAAATGTTAAAAAAAAAATAAGGTTTTGAAGAAAAAAATAAATATAAAAATTAAAACTTAATACACTACTCAGGAAAAATATTTATCATTTTAAATGATATAATTTTGTGTCATTTTTAATGATATAATTTTGTGTTATTTTTAATGAAATTACGTCATTTTGATATGTTTTTACATTCTCTTTTCTTCATTTTCTTTTTCTTTCTAATTTTATAAAAAAAATATAAAAATATATCAAAATGACATAAATTCATTAAAAATATCATAAAATTATATCGTTTAAATTGATAAATATTTCTCCCCTACTCTGTTAACACATGCATGAAAAGCAAATAGAAGAGTGGGTTAGCTGCATTAAGATTATAAATAATTAAACATCTTCGTCTGCCTTGTACACATGCGCAAAGAGCAAATGAATGAAACATTGAAAGTACATAATTGCAAAAGCATTGCAATTTTATGTTCTTTCATAAAAAGAAAAAGAGTAAACACATTTTTTGATCCTTGGCAATATCTACGAAATTCTTTTTAGTCTCTGGTAATAAAAAAGGACCAAATTGGTCCCTAAAACTATGAAAAAAGGTCATGTTAGTCCTTATGTCAACTCCTCCGTCACTAACGTGGCCCTTTTTACATACTGTTAGGGACCAATTTGATCATTTTTTATTGTCAGGTACTAAAAAGGATTTCATAAATATTTCCACCGACAAAAAGAGTGTTTACTCAAAGAAAAAATAAGCACGCACGGAAAAAAAAAAGACAAAACAAAGGAAATAAAAATAAGCACGCACAAAAAAAAGACAGTCAACGATGTAGAGTTGTAGCAGCTTCTGTGGTTTAAACCCAAATGAATGAATGCTTGACAAAGCAATTTCAGTAATGGGGTGATGATTGGTAATAGGATCCTTGTCCTGGTGCTGGTGGCGCTGCTGCAGGAACCCTCTTTCTCTTCTTGGCCAAGCAGAAAATACCAGCTATGATGAACGCAAAGAAGAGAACACCACCCAGGGAGGAACATACTGCAATCACAGTGGTATGATTGTTTCCCCCTGAAGGTGGTGTTACCTTATTATTATTAGAAAATGGTGGTGGTGGTAGTGGACCTGATCCGTAACTTGGAGGCAAGTAACTTGATGGTGAGTATGGATATGATTTTGGAGAGTGAGCAGGACCCTTTGTTGGTGCTCCGTTTGGAGAGTTAGATGGGACTCTCTTTGGGGTAGGTGCTGGAGAATATGGACCCTTTTGTGGTGTTGGTGGTGATGTACTTGGAGACCCTTCTGTTGGTGTTGGTGTTGGTGTTGGTGGTGATGTACTTGGAGACCCTTTTGTTGGTGTTTGTGTTGGTGCAGGTGGTGATGATGGTGATATGCTCTGTTTTGGCGGTGGCGCGTTGGAGGGTGATGTTGGAGGTGGGGGGGTAAAGTTGTTGGTAGGGCTAGGTGGAGATGCTACCTGAGGAGGTGATGAAGGTGGAGGTTGTGGCGCATTTTGACCTGGTGGGGGTGTTGAATTTGATGATGGTGGCGGAGGTGGAGGTGGTGGCGCATTATGACCTGGTGGGGGTGCTGAATTTGATGGTGGTTTTGGAGGTGGAGCATGGGTATTTGAATATGGTGGTTGAACTAAGGGTGGGGATGGGGTTGACGGTGGTGGAGGAGAGTAGTAATGGTAACTCATTATGTGAAAAGCAGAGGAATTAGTGGAATTATAACAAACTAGTATATATGGATCACAGACTATGTGTACCAAGGCAAAGTCTAGCTTATATATTAGTTTGAGGAAATGATCTCCCAATTTCTTAATCGCTGCATATTATCTTTATTGTTGAAAATCACTCTAATTAATGTTGAAGTTTGTTACACCTTTTTTATACTGATAAATTATCATTTTTTCCTAACCTTTAAGGCACATGTTAGAGAACAAGTATGGCATATATTATATTGGTTGGAACACTGAAATTGAAGGCCATCTCATCATTATCAATAAAATATTTATGGGATTATTGTTTCTGACATTATAAGAGATAAAATTATTTTGTATAACATAAAAATGTGAGACTTATATTTTTTTTTTCTCTCTTCTCTTCACATAACTCCACATGGGCCCTATATACTTTTATATATGTATAAGAGATAATTTTATCATCTACAAGAAACATTAATTCCAATTTTTATTCAATGTAAATGTACGTGACAATTATTAGTTTTGCAAGCTTAGAAGTCATTGTTTTATCAATCCAATGATATAGAAGAAGCAGTCAACTGGACGGGCTAAATATGAAAAATTAATTAAACATAAAAACCCTAAATAAAAAAAAATCAACTGATAACTAGTTGGCAATAAATAAATAAAACCAAACTAAACAATATGAATAACAAACCATTAATTAGTCTAAATTGACTTGATATCAAATTAAGGGCTATGCCTAAATTAGATAGCGTCCTTGATAAGTTGTTGGATAACTTCAGAACAACACAAATTTATTTTAGTCATAAACCCACGTGAACTTATGATATGAGGAATATTCAGTCACTTTCTTCTCAATTAATTATGTATGTACTGCGGATTAATTTGGAACCTACCTTTTCTTAGGTATAATGGTAGTTAAGGTGAGTTTGTAATTATTTGAAGGGGGAAAAAAGTTAAGGGGAATACAGGAAAGAAAGAGACGAGAAAATGGAAATCTTCTTGAAGCAAGATGCTAGGACTTTTATTTGGCTTTGAATCTGCCTAATTAAGTTGATTTATTTGTCTGGAGATCATGAAGCAGTTGCAACTAGCTAGGTTTTTCATTTTTAACTGTGTTAAGCAATATTTTAAAGGGGCCTTAGCCTTTTGATGTGCTGGCTGTAACCTTCTTATTAGATGTGTCCAATGAGCTGTTGGCTTAGTGCCAGTGTAAGTATTTCTCGAGTTTTGTTTCACGTAGTTAACAAAGACCAAAAAGAATAACTGTTGTGAGAGAGAAATTACACTTAAAAAAGAGGATTTGTCCCACATTGCTCTTAGTGCAAGCACAATCACTGATGGAGGAAAGAGAGACGAAAGAGATGAGCGTGGATAAAGGTGTGGATTATGCGGCGGGGCTCTGCCTTTAAGTTAACTATTGCCTATAAAATGTTGATTCAATGTAAAGATATAAGTTAATTATTGGTTTTTCACACCCAGAAGTCTTTGTTTTATCAATCCAACGCCAAAAGAAGAAGCAGGAAATTGGACAGGCCAACTAAGAAATAATAATTAAACATAAAAACCCAAAATAAAAAAATCCAATGCTAACTAGTTGATTATAAAGAAATAAAAGTAAACGAAGCGAGCAAATTGCATAAAAATAATTAGTCTAAATTGACTTGACACCAAATTAAGTACAATGTCCAAATTAGCGTCCATATAAGTCATTCGATAATTTTGAACTTTACAAATGTATGTTAGTAATAATCCCAAGATATTTAGAAAGAATTTTAGTTTCGATAGTAGGAGTATATTATATAAACTTTTAGGAGCTACCTGAAGTTAGTATTTCCTTTATATCAATTATTCACTAGAATTACACACACACACACACATATATATATATATAACTTTTTGTTCAATATGAGTTGATTCAATCTAAATATTTATAGACAGATAACTTATTGTTGATATTTTGTTTTATATTTTAGAAAACATCATGTGTTAAACTAAGATAACGGAATGAAACATCATGCGTTAAAATATCATATCTCACATCTAGTGGGACTCACAAAGACAAAACAGTTATGAGTTTCTTTTACTACTGGAGAATTTTTTCTACTTGTATATACCCATTTTCAGCTATTAAAGGGACACATAAATATTCATTCCAATATTGTTACAACATAAATATTATCTTAAAGAGCTACCTGTCTAACACCTTCCCATTATTCTTAACCTATGTCTGAGACATTTACGGTAATTTTTCATTGAGCTGAGGTTCATACATCTACCTCATATTAATGTTATATTGACATAATATACCCCATCAATAGAAACATACCCATTTCCACTACACCAAAAATTCAGGCGTACATCATGCATTTTGGAAACATCAACATTGCTACAACAGTACATTGATTCACCTTGGAAAATTTGCCATGTCCATCTCGCAAATCAAGGGATCTTTCTCCAAAGGATTTTCTTCGTGGCCTTATTTGGGAAATGGGAATATAAGAGCAAGAAAGGAATTTAGGTGCAATTAATGAGGAAGGAGACAAGAAACGACCCTAAATATGATTAGGGTTTAACAATTTCTAAAATTTATGATTTGGACTTTATTTTTCATTTGGTGAAATTTGAATGAGGGGACAAGAAAAGGGACAGAGAACAGAGATAGGTGACTTGAGTCCCTCCTATTCTGTTAAGATGTTGTTTATAAATTAATATTATGATTAATTATTTATTATATACATTGAGGATTTCAAACATAATTATAAGGGTGTTTCAAAGTCCATTTTTGGTTCGAATTTGGAAGAAAACCTCAAGCGAACCAAACAAATAGGTTTATCTTGTTATTCTACTATTTGCTTTGGTTTTTATTAATTCGGTTCAGTTTTTTTTTTTTTTTTTGCCCACGTTCTTTTATTCTAAATTGGGGCTAAATTCATTGCTATTTTAATTGGGCCTAAATAGCTCTTATCAAAAGTCCAACAATTTGAACGGATAAAAACAACGTGGCCCGCTTAAACGCTAAATTTGGAAAACAAAATAAAGTCTATCATATCAATTATATGTGAATCAATTAATTTATAGAAGTATTGTGATATATTACAAGGCAAGCCTTATGCATGAATTTAAAGGTTTATTCGCATTGATTCATTTGAAAAGGCTAAAGATAAACTCCAATTTTATTTTATTTTTAGCGATTTATAGATTACTCTGATCTCCGAAGCATCGACTCGTCGTTTTTGGGAAAAATCACGTGTCGGACATGTGTCGGACACCGACACGCGTCCGACATGTAGTTGACTTTTTGGGACACGTTGATTAGGGGGCACGCGAATTTGACCGAATCGAACACGCGATCAACATATGTGGACACGTTTTGACATTTTTTGTAAAAAAAAAAAAAAATACAATTTAAAAAAAAATTAAAAATATATAATAAAAAGTAAAAAATTTAGAACCTATGATGGAGATGACGGAACCCAACGATGGAAGGGTGCTCCGAAAGGTAGAAGAGTTAAGGGTCTGGATCACCGTCGAGACCGTGCCCAAGGTGGCGGAGAGGGTTCCGCCGGACGGTGATATAGACATGCCGGTGACTCTGCCCCTTGTCACTTTACCTCATTAACTTTTCCAATTTCTGGCATTTATTTTTTGTTGATCGCTGAAGACTTAGAGAGAGAGACCTTAAATTTGTGGCATACATTGATAGCACACAGCGTTGGGTTTTTTGTTGATCTGTTTGGACCGTTTTTTTTTTTTTTTTGTAATCGTTGGCTATTGGACCGTTCTCTTTTTTTTCTTTTTTTCTTTCTTTTTTTGTTGTTGTAAAACTCACCTAGTTTTAGTTCAGCTGATATATTGAGGACAAATTAAATAAAAGATTAATGTATCTGTAGGAAATTCCAAATACATAAATCCAATTTATTTTGCTCTTTTGAATATTTGATTAATTATGTGACTTATTATGGGTTATTATATGTATTAAAGTAAACTATATTATATATATTAAAAATATTATTTAATATCAAAACGTGTCCCAGCGTGTCGAAATTTAACATTTTTTAGAATTAACGTGTCGGAGTGTCGTGTCGTGTCGTTTCCCGTGTCCGTCATTGACTCTGATCAAGTGGAGCAGTACACAACGGCAATAAACCAAAATTAACTTTAATTACATTGCATGAAAAAATTAAACTCACACCTAATCGTAACAAGCTATCAATCCTAAAGTATTTCAGCACCTAGCAATTTTAACTTTAACAGGGTTGTGTATGAAGTTGAATGAAGAAAAAACTGAACATATGTCGTGGCTTTTTATTCTTTTCCTTTATTATGTAAAGCAAGTTATTTATTCAAACTTATAGCATTGATAGGACAAAGAGTATATTAGACCCCTAACTTGCTTAGGAATAATCACGAAACTATAGTTTTATTTGATTATGTAACTGTATTGTTAATTTAATTAGCAGGTTGATATAAATATCGGTTTTAGAAGAAATGGATATTTAAAAGTAGATATAATCTCAAATTATACAGTAATTCACTTGTACTATTCAAAAATTACGGTAGCTTTTGATTACCATTAGGCATTAGCCTATATGCGTCAGGTTCCTTATGACATCACCTGAATTGTTATGATTTTTTTTTTTTTGAATTGTTCAATCTGTTGGAAGATTCCCCGTGCAACAGGATATAAAGACTCCTTTTAATTAAAATGGAAAATATCATAAATCAAATTAAAATTAAAATAAATGAAAAATAAAATAAATGAAGATAAATTTACAAAACCATTGTATTAAAAAGAAAAATTAAATGAATTTTATCAATATCCGAATCTTATTTTTTTTTTCTGTCAACAGTTTGTCGAATTAATTGATTGAATAGGGATGGGTGATTCGTAAATCGGTGGATCATTCTTACTTATTGTTGATTTTTTTCTCTCTCTTAATTCATATATATTTTTCTTTATGGTTGTCTTTCGTTTAATTATGGAATTTTTTTGAATACATCTGATGCAGGTGTAACCACTTGGGTACATTTTTTTATCAAATGGAGAATTTTTTTTTCTTCTATTTTTATCCTTGTTTTTTTTTATTTTCCTTTCATATCCCAAAATTTTATATTTTTTGGGAAGGATGTACATACATTCGCTACACACAAGATTTTCTCTTGGTTTAACATTCAAATCTTTTATTTAATTTAATTTTTCTGTCAATAAATAATTTGTCAAATTAATAGATTGAATTAGGATGAATGATTCCTAAATCAGTGGATTATTCTGCTTATTGAATATTGAATTTTTTTACTTTCAATCAATTGATATCTTTTTTACCTTCATGTATTTTATTTGATTTTATTTTGTAACAAATTTTGTGTACAATTTAATCAATTACATATATTGAACATTAATGCAGCGGAAAAGGTTCCTTGGTGGCTATTATAATTAACAATGAGTTGAATATATTTTTCTATTTTTAGCTATTTTGACATTAACATAAGCTACTATGGTTATCTGAGCATTTATATTTGATGACACCTATAGGTAATTTGGACTTAATATATCTACTGTCAAGTTTTGCTCATTCTAAATGATTTATGGTTGTTTTATTTTTCTTTGTAGGATATTGGATATCCTAATCTTTGGCCAAAGAAAGCAGGAGAGAGAAAATAATAACTAAAATTTATTGGAGGCATTAACTATAGGAAATTGTTCTGTATTTTGTCCCATTTCTTTTTTTTTTGGTAGAACAATATAACATCTTATACCATTTCTTTTTGGTAGAACAAATGCTTTAGCTTTTTCAAAATGAAAAATAAAACAAAATAGCAAGCAATTCTTTATAAATATAAGATTTGTAAGGGCAGGTTATATTTACAAATTTTTTTGTGTACAAACTCTTACAAATTACATTAAGTACGATCAATTATACTTTAATTATACAATGTACGACCGACCGTACTTAATGTAATTTGCAAAAAAAAAAATTGTAAACGGATTCTATCCCAAAATTTGCATTGTGATTAATCAACAACAACTGACAAAAAAAGTTAATACACTGGTATCTTATAAAAAAGAAAATGTTACAACATATCTCAAACATTGTGTAGTGGTACGCTCGTTTAATGAATGGCGATGGGGAATGAATATACAAGTCAAACCAAAAAAAATTCTCGCTCTCCCCTTATCCAGAAAATATGTGCAGTCGGCCAATCCATATAGAAGAAGACCGTTGGAAGTCGCCATTCCACCGTTGGAACAGTTAAACAAAAACCATTTTAGTTGACACCTGGCCACCCTCCACTCGGTGGGACCGGAATCAATTGCCCCGGGTCAAGAAACGGGTTCGTGAACCGAGTCGACCCGCTTTGAGTGGTTCCTCGCCGTACCACCGTCAGCCACTTCCCCTCTCTTTCCTCCACCACCGCCACCGCCTTTGCCTTCGTCCGATCAATCAAATCCCAGAACCCATTATTCTTCTTCCTGTTCACAAACAAAAGCTGCAATCTTTCCTTGGTCTCCTCCAATCTCTCCAAATAACCCACCAACTCCCTCAACTCTCCCACATCCAAATTCCCCACTCTCTCTCCAATCTCTTCCACACGCAATAAAATCTCACGTTGAACACTTCCATAATCTTCACCCACCAATCTCACCAATTCATACACCAAGTCATTCTTCTGAAGGTGCAACGATTCTGGCACGTGACTCACGTGCTCCACAAAAACAACAAGACCTTGTATTTTGTACAACAAGTCACCACTAGACACACCCAAACACACTCTTTTGATGCTGTCCCTTAAAGACGAGCTCAGATAATAACCTAAAACCCTCGAAACCGTTATGACATGTTCGAGGACTCCCGCATACCATCGAACCCACGAACTCAGCTCCAACGTTTCGAGGTCCGAGTGGTCGCGGAAGGTGGAGAGGTTAAGGAAGTTGTGGCCACCGTTGGAAGGGTAGTGGGAAAGGTGGTCCTTCAAAGTGAAGGGTCCCTTGGCCATGACATTGTGTAACATGAAGAGGCATTTCAGGGCAACCGTTGCGCTTTGCGTGCGGTGAAGACGGTCCATGAGTGCATTTATGCAGGCGCGCGGCAGGAGATGGGAGCCTTGGCCGGCGGAGAGGACGGCTGCGACTCGGGCCTCTGATGGAGGAGTGGAGAGGCTGTGAGTGGTGGCGCGAAGGACATGGACTCGAGCGGAGGACACGTGGCGTTTGATTGATAGAGCTGCTGCGAACACTGAGGCTTTGTCCTTCAGATTGTGTGCGAGATTTCTCAGCCTCTTGCGCAGGGACATCGCTAGAAGAATGTAAAAGTGAATGCTCTGTTCTAATTTTTTGGCACAAAACTCTATTCTCACTTATAAACATTTTCAATTTTATTTATAAAAAAGTAAAATATTATAAGATTTTAATTAATTTGACTTAGCCAGAAAGTGAACACGAAACAAGATTTTGTTTAACCATGATTGTTGCGGTTTCCATTATTAGTTTCCCTGGTTTACCGTCTTTTTATAACGCGGAGAAGGAAGCTTAATTTTTTGTTCCATGTGAATGAAATCAATATGGAAAATTAAATATTAAATGTATGCACAACATTATCGATTAAATTTGACCATTTCAATAAATTGTCACATTCATTGCCTAATTTTTTTTCTTTGCTTTTACCAGCTTTTATTTAGCTTTAATTAAAAGACACTTGTGTGTTGCCAGGGAGTAAAATCTTTGTTTGGCTCGAAAAACTCGTGCTGGAATTTCAAAAATTTGATGGCGGTTGTCTGCTTAAGAAAGAATACTTTTATGGAATATAAAATCACATTAATTGAGTTTCCAAACGTGAAATATAAAATCACATTAATTGAGTTTCCAAACGTGAAATATAAAATCACTTTAAATATATTTTCAAACTTAAGACTATCAAATCACATCAAATGTGCTTTCTTAAATATGGAAAATAAGAACGGATCAAATTTATATATAAATTCATGAAACACCAAAAATCATAAACGAACATCAGGCATGACTTGTTAGGATCTTCTCCTTTGTGATCCATTTCTTTATAGCACTTTTTTAATGGGCCAAAGTAATGAATAGGCATAACCTATTTTATATAAACTAGAGAAGGGACCTAATAAAACTCAAACATTGTGTGTTAATTGGGTTCTCCTATAACAGGCGGCTTTGCCTATATTTTGTTGTTCAACAGTTTAATATTAATAGTAGTTAAAACACAACCCAATATGATCAGAAAATGGACTTAATGAATAATCAACTGGAATACCGAATACCTATTAATCTGATTATTTTTAAAAATAAAAATCACGTTAATTAAATTGTAATTGTGGAAAAGGATTTGGAAATAAAAAATTAAATAAATAATAATTTCTTTTAAAAATCGAAATAAAAAATCAATGAAAAATTAAGTTAATCATTTATGGTGGTAGACAACTCATTCAATGTCTCACTGATTTGTATATTGGATTTACTCAGCTCTTTTAAATGCTTTCTACATTGGAATTGCTCACTCTTTTGAAATTCGAATTCTGAATTGATTTCAAATTATGGATTTCAATTTTATATTTCAAATTGTAATAGTGGGAAAGAGTTTGGAAACAAAAATTAAATAATAATTTCTTTTAAAAATCGAAATAAAAAATCAATGGAAAATCAAGTTAATCATTTATGGTGGCAGACAACTCATTCAATGTCCCACTGATTTGTACATTGGAATTACTCAGCTCTTTTAAATGCTTTCTACATTCGAATTGTTCACTCTTTTGAAATTCGAATTCTGAATTGATTTCAAATTATGGATTTCAATTTTATATTTCAAATTGTAATGGTGGGAAATTATTTAGAAATAAAAAATTAAATAAATAATAATTTCTTTTAAAAATCGAAATAAAAATCAATGGAAAATTAAGTTAATCATTTATGATGGCAGGCAACTCATTCAATGTCCCACTTATTTGTACAATGTAATTACTCAGCTCTTTTAAATGCTTTCTACATTGGAATTGTTCACTTTTATAAAATTCGAATTCTGAATTGATTTCAAATTTTGATTTCAATTTTAAATTTCAAATTGTAATTGTGGGAAAGGATTTCGAAATAAAAAATTAATTACATAATAATTTCTTTTAAAAATTGAAAAAAAAATCAATGGAAAATTAAGTTAATCATTTATGATGACAGACAACTCATTCAATGTCCCACTGATTTGTACATTGGAATTACTCAGCTCTTTTAAATGCTTTCTACATTGAAATTGTTCACTCTTTTGAAATTCGAATTCTGAATTGATTTCAAATTATGGATTTCAATTTTATATTGCAAATTGTAATTGTGGGAAAGGATTTGGAAATAAAAAATTAAATAAATAATAATTTCTTTTAAAAATTGAAATAAAAAATCAATGAAAAATTAAGTTAATCATTTATGGTGGTAGGCAACTCATTCAATGTCTCACTGATTTGTATATTGGATTTACTCAGCTCTTTTAAATGCTTTCTACATTGGAATTGCTCACTCTTTTGAAATTCGAATTCTGAATTGATTTCAAATTATGGATTTCAATTTTATATTTCAAATTGTAATGGTGTGAAAGAGTTTGGAAACAAAAATTAAATAATAATTTCTTTTAAAAATCGAAATAAAAAATCAATGGAAAATCAAGTTAATCATTTATGGTGGCAGACAACTCATTCAATGTCCCACTGATTTGTACATTGGAATTACTCAGCTCTTTTAAATGCTTTCTACATTCGAATTGTTCACTCTTTTGAAATTCGAATTCTGAATTGATTTCAAATTATGGATTTCAATTTTATATTTCAAATTGTAATGGTGGGAAATTATTTAGAAATAAAAAATTAAATAAATAATAATTTCTTTTAAAAATCGAAATAAAAATCAATGGAAAATTAAGTTAATCATTTATGATGGCAGACAACTCATTCAATGTCCCACTTATTTGTACAATGTAATTACTCAGCTCTTTTAAATGCTTTCTACATTGGAATTGTTCACTTTTATAAAATTCGAATTCTGAATTGATTTCAAATTTTGATTTCAATTTTAAATTTCAAATTGTAATTGTGGGAAAGGATTTCGAAATAAAAAATTAATTACATAATAATTTCTTTTAAAAATTGAAATAAAAAATCAATGGAAAATTAAGTTAATCATTTATAATGACAGACAACTCATTCAATGTCCCACTGATTTGTACATTGGAATTACTCAGCTCTTTTAAATGCTTTCTACATTGAAATTGTTCACTCTTTTGAAATTCGAATTCTGAATTGATTTCAAATTATGGATTTCAATTTTATATTTCAAATTGTAATTGTGGGAAAGGATTTGGAAATAAAAAACTAAATAAATAATAATTTCTTTTAAAAATCGAAATAAAAAATCAATGAAAAATTAAATCAATTATTTATGGTGGTAGACAACTCATTCAATGTCACACTGATTTGTACATTGGAATTACTCAGCTCTTTTAAATGCTTTCTACATTGGAATTGCTCACTCTTTTGAAATTCGAATTCTGAATTGATTTCAAATTTTGGATTTCAATATTAAATTTCAAATTGGAATGGTGGGAAAGGATTTGGAAATAAAAAATTAAATAAATAATAATTTCTTTTAAAAATAGAAATAAAAAATCAATGAAAAATTAAGTTAATCATTTATGGTGGCAGACAACTCATTCAATGTCCCACTGATTTGTACATTTGAATTATTCAGCTTTTTTAAATGCTTTCTACATTGAAATTGTTCACTCTTTTGAAATTCAAATTTTGAATTGATTTCAGATTTTGGATTTCAATTTTAAATTTCAAATTAGAATGGTGGGAAAGGATTTGGAAATAAAAAATTAAATAAATAATAATTTGTTTTAAAAATCGAAATAAAAAATCAATGAAAAATTAAGTTAATGATTTATTGTGGCAGACAACTCATTTAATGTCCCACTACTTTTTTGTTGGTGTATATTATGAGTAAAAAAGACCTCTACTTTTTTTTTGTATATCCCACTATTTTTTTCATGGGTAATTGTTAGGGTTTAGGAATGTTGCATAAAAAAACAAAAACATTAAAAAAAATTGTAAAATAATAAAATTATTTATATTGTAAAATAAATTCAAAATTTGGAAATAAATTAAATAAAAAATTATGTGAACAATTTTTGGTGGCAGACAACTACATACTACTTTGGAATTTCCAAATTAATAATAACTCAACTCTTCTAAATTTTGAATTTATGTTTAAATTTAAATTTTGGATTTAAATTTTTAACTTTGTAATGATAGAAAAACTTTTAGAAAAATGACAACTCATTTAGTGTCCCACTATTTTTCTTTTATTGTATATTATGAGTAAAAATACCTATACTTTTCTTTTGTTGTATATCCACTATTTTTTACATGGATAATTGTTAGCCCTATTAATGCTGAATAATAAAAAACAAAAACATTAAAAAAATTGTAAAATAAAAAATTTTAAATATACATGTATTTTTTTTAAATATTTAACATAAAAATTTTAAATATACATGTATAACCAATTAAAATAATATACATGTATTTTTTTTAAAAATATTTCACATAAAAATTTTAAATATACATGTATAACCAATTAAAAATATATATATAAATCATAAATTAAAATAGAAAAAAATTATATAAAAAAATTAGTATAATTAATATAAAAAGTTTAAATTTTAAATTTAAATAAAAAATGACGTCTGTCATTCTGTAAAAAAATTATTAAAATTTAAGAACTATAAAAATTAAAATTTTAATTTAGTACATAAGAAAGAAATTAAACATTCATTTTTTTATTGTAAGAGTGTAATTAACACAAATACTTGCAAAAAAATAATTATTTATATAAAATGCTGACAGTTAGAGGTGAAAAACTGGGTTTGGCCCGCCAATATATTTTTATAATTCAATTAAAATTTTATCTTTCTTCTTTTATAATTAAATTATTAAACCTGCTTACCAAAAAAAAATTACTAAATCTGATTTCAATTTTTGTAAATACAAATTTGTGAAATTCCAAAGACTAACGACACTAATCCTTGCAAAAAAAATTACAAGTATAAAATGCTGACAGTTAGAGGTGAAAAATACCGCTAATATATTTTATAATTCAACTGAAATTTTATTCTTCTTCTTTTATAATTGTATTTCTAAATCTGATTTCAATTTTTGTAAATATAAATTTGTGAAATTCCAAAGACTAACGACACAAATCCTTGCAAAAAAAAAATTTATTTATTATTATTTTATAAATCTGATTGTAGTAAATGAAAGTTCTTCTCCGAGATAAAATATAAAAACCTGGATGCATCTATAAAAATCTTTTTTTATGGATAAATATAAAAACCTATTACATGCTGATAGTTAGAGGTGGCAAACTGGACTCGGCCCGGAGGATCGACCCACAAACATATTTTTATAATTAAATTAAAATTTCATCCTTCTTCTTTTATAATTAAATTCCTAAATCTGATTTTAATTTTTGTAAATACAAATTTGTAAAATTTCAAATACTAACGACACAAATCCTTGCAAATAATAATAATTTATTATTATTTTTTAAATGTGATTGCAATAAATGAAAGTTTATTTCAAATATTAGTGTAGTTGCTTTGATTCTGTTCATATGCATTTGTTGCAATGTAAGCAAAAAATATGATATATACATGCTTATTTGATTAAGTTTCATTCAAATCCCGTTCAGACAACATTTTTTTTTTGTCCTTAAAAAAATTTAATCAAATCTTTTTATTTTGCTGATACTATGACTTTTGGATGTTAACATATTAGTGTTACTTATTTAATGAGTTTTTTCCTTCTGTATCGTAGGCACAAGGAACGAAAATTACACAAGAAATGACATATTTAGTAAGTGTTGAACTCATCCCTCCAATGATTGCTACGAAATGACACTGAATGAATAGCGTTTTCATATTATAGGTAAAGGTTGATATTTTAAATCCATATTTGCTTTGTGTTATCGTTACCTTGATTTTGTTGATGAATGTTATAGTTAGCAATAATTTGTACGCATTTTTCTTTTTATATCACTTTCTCATGTTAACATGGTGTATTATAACGTATTATGGTGTATTATGATATAGTTGTATGTGCAAAATTATTTATCCCTCTGAATAGCAGATTTTTGTTTATGGTTGATATTTATAAAGCTCTATGTCAATGCTGTAATTTTTTTCACCTGAAATATAGAACAAAATAACAACACAATTTTTTGTAAATATAAAGTTTGCAGTGCGATTAACCAACCACGACAAACGACAAAAATTTTGATCTTTTTTCTCCGTGCATCGTACGGGTAATATACTAGTTTTATATAAACTGGAGAAGGGGCCTAATAAAACTCAAACATTGTGTGTTAATTGGGTTCTCCTATAACAGGCGGCTTTGCCTATATTTTGTTGTTCAACAGTTTAATATTAATAATAGTTAAAACACAACCCAATATGATCAGAAAATGGACTTAATGAATAATCAACTGGAATACCGAATACCTATTAATCTGATTATTTTTAAAAATAAAAATCACGTTAATTAATGTTGTCCGCATACAACTCCCACCATACTTTTGATCAGGAAATAATAATAGTTGGTTTTGCCTTTTCAATTCTTCTTATTCTTAAACATGATGCAATTATGCGTGTAAATTTTGTTTATTATGTTTTTTAATTGGAGTCGGCTGGGCAGTCCTGGACAGTATCCATTGGGATACGTTGAAAAACTGACATTTGGAAATAAAAGAAATTAAGGTTATAATTTTTAACTAGATTAACTAAAATTATTACTTATAATGACAATAAGTTATATTTTAATCTCGATCATACACTTATATCTATTTATAGGATTTATTCTTTTCAGTCTCACAACAAATGTTATTTTTTAAAGAACATCTATATTGTTTATTAGATAAACATAGGTTAAGTTATGAGAATAGCATGCCAACAAGTGTTGGGTTGATCTTTTACTTTATTCAGGAATCCCTGTCAATTGTGTAACTTATGAGAATCCTTGTTAATAAGCGGTAAATAATTTCACTATAAATCCTCGTTGAAATTAATGATTTACGCTGCCTTAATGCCTTTAGAAAAGAGAGAACCGCTTTTTTAAACAAAATGAAAAGAGTCCTTTCATATAATTTAAGTTAATCTTCAGTACCTATTTTGAAGTAACTTACAAATGACATTTATTTAACTCAAGTTTCTCTTGAATTTGGTTATTATTGTCCATGACCATTTTTCTTTTTCTTTCATGAAGCCATAATTTAATAATTTTCAGGGCACGCCGAATTGAGTACAAGCTTTAATTATTTGTGCCTGCTTTTTCAGCCAGACAAGTCCAAATTGCATTCCAAGAATCAATTCAAAAGTTAAAACTAAATTATGAAATACAAGCATGATTCAGATACAAAGGAAATGCATGGACGGATGCTACTTAAGCGAGGACATAGCAGTTTTTTTTATTCAAATCCGAATACGATCCAAGCAGGAGTTTTTATCCAGTTCATGGCTTTGTTGAAGCTGCAAGTAATCACTATATTTAATGGCACGATATGCGAGGGGATTATCCTCTTGGACCAGCTCCAGTGCAGGACTGACAATGTTGTCAAGTGGGGGCCCGTATGCTGTACCAACAGAAATTCTAGTAGCTTTTTGATTCACTACAGCACGATGAATAACGCTCTTGTATTTCCCATTGGTCAGTATCTAATCACAAAATTCGCGAATTATAATAATTTATATTTGATAGTTGACATGACACATTTATTAGGAGAAAAATAAAATAAAATAAAATAAAATTGATAGTTTAATTTAAACACATGCATGCAAGTGAATAGATAGCATTGGAGTAAATTGCTTGCAAAAGTGATTTTAGTTTTACCTCCATATGATCCCCAGTGTTGATGAGAAAGGAATTGGGTAAAGGGTGGACAGGAATCCACTTGCCGTTATGTTGAATTTGAAGCCCTGATAGTTCATTTTGCATCAGGAGGGTCAGAAGCCCATGATCTGTGTGCGCAGGTAGGCCCATTACAAGTTCAGGATCAGGACAAGGTGGGTAAAAGTTGATAACTAGTAACTGGGATCCCGATTCCACATTCAACCTTTTATGTATGAAGTTTTCTTCTAGTCCCAAGCTTCTAGATATTCCTTTTAGCAACTCTCCAATCAGTTCCCTGGTCTTTGTGATGTATTCTTCTAAAGTTTCACTGCAAATATTGAACGAGAAAAACCAATGAATAAGCAGCAAATCTATGTTTATGTTCTGGCTTGGTGGTTCACGGTTATGGTAACATGGCAAATTCTATGGCTTTCTCATAATTAAGATTATTGTGAATCTGTTCAGAATTTGATGAAAAAATGTCAAGTGTTATTTGTCTAATGAAGTCTACATGAAGGTTTGTTTTAAATCAATATTTTTTTTTCTTTAATTTATTTTCTCATCTTTAACTAAAGTATTCCGCCAACACTATTGTAAGATTAACTATTTTTATAGCAATAATAAAATTCACATATCAATAGATGATTAATAACTAAATGAGTAAAACTCCGACTCTTAGTAGGCTCAACTTTTATTTTTGTATGTGCAATTATTTATTTACGTCAAGCAAACGTCATCAACGTAGCATTTTAGAATTTGCTTTGCTCAATTATTCAATTCGCATGGCATGTCTCTTTTTTTGTTTTGTTTTTTGAAGTACAAGGGAAACAGAAACAAACAAACATAGATAAAACAACTACAGCCTACAAAGTCTTGGGCTACATATTCCCATCACGTCTCGATCCTCCTGCATCAATTTGGGGGTTCACTGAACACGTGACTATTCCAATCATCAAACTGGTATGCGAAGGAGCATGTTTCTAAGTCAATATATATCTTCTCCTAATCAAAACAACACAAATTTTGTTTTCTATGAACGGTCAATCTTAATCCAAAAACCAACCAATAGAAAAAAAGGAAACAGATCTTGTGAGGTTTTTGGGAAATTGTAGAGAATCTCAACAGCAAAAACGATTGCTAAGTGCCTAACCGGGTTTGGTAATAATTTTATTTTATTTTTGGAAAATGGTAATAATTTTTTTGAGAAGGATTGTAATGTGGTTTTCTACTTCACCTAATTTTGGCAACGAATCTTTTGAATCCGGTATAAAATTTGGAAATGTTGCTTTCCATCTTAACGGTTAATTTTCGTCCATCTAATTATTATAGTTTATTGAGTTATATTAATTAATTAAATATTAATTTTAAATAAATGACAATCGTTAAATAAGAAAAAATCAATGGTTGAGATGAGGAGTAAAATCGAAATCAAAAGATCCATTCCCCCTAACTTTTAACAAAAAATGAACCCCTACCAGAGAAGTTTCTCCAAAAGCTTTGGTTGTAGTATACGTGATACTGATTTATTAGCAAGCTCCCACATATAAAGATGAGAACAGTTTTATCACTGTTCTGGTTCGTCCCCTTTTAAAATGATGACCATATAAGTATAAAAAATTCATAGACTTACCATCTTAAAATTTTATGGATTGAGATGTAATATCAATTTACTTATTGAAATTGAGGGCATGTTATATTTACAATCTTTTTTTTTTTACAAACAAATCTTAATATTTGATTTTCATCAATCGGACAGTTATAATTTACTGAGTCACATTTTTAACCGTCAACAATAGTTAGATTAACGAAAATTAACAATTAAAATTTGATTGTAAGCGAAAAGAAGTTTAAAATTTACCATTTGGCGTGAATTGCAAAGGATTTTGGGTTCCTATTACAATTTCATCGTATTTTGGGCGAATACAGTGATGACTCAAAAGATTGAAGAAGAATAATGGGAAAAATAAAAAAAATAAAAAACCAAAAAAGATAAGATTGAGAGTCGTACCTAAAACCAGGGGGCTTGGAAGGAGCACTAAAGTGAGGGTGAACATAACATTTAAGATAATCTCTCCAGAAAAGGGTCTTGTCCACCATGACATTGAAGCTTGTCCCACATCTTATTGGATCAAATAGCTTCCTTCCTGCGTACTCCATTTTTTCTACCTCTGTCAGATCAAAAAAGCTCTGGCTTGCCCTAAGCAGCTCATCCCTCAGTGTCTCCGAAACCCCGTGATTGACTAGCTATATATATATAGAGTAATCAAGAATTAACAAGAAAACAAATGTTACATATTTGCATGTGGAGAAGGGAGAAGTTAACGAAAGCACATATATATCGGTTGAGGCTGAATATCTATACCATAAAGAAACCCCAGTCGCGGCAGGCATCACCGAGTTTTTGGATTTCCTTGGAGCGCTCATTGGGATTGGATGAGTTGAGCTGCGAAAAATCAATTATTGGAATATTCTCTGTTTCATACAATATGGAATCGTCAGGATTTTTAAGGCATAAGTAGTTGGAGGGAATGGAACTCGGACAATTTGAATCAACTAATCCTTTAACGCTAAGCATCTTTTCTCGGTCTTCAGTAGGGGCTCTTGTCTTTCTGGATTTGGGTAAAAGAATGGAGCAAGGTGGGCATAACAAGTGACTTTGTATATGCTTTGTGCTCACATCTCAATTATAGTATGGTCAGGCTTTATATAGAAAAAAAATCTGAACTTCTAGTGCTGGAGTTTCTATGGAGGAGAATACGTAATTCTAATTAGTAGAAGCATCTTCTACCAAAGAAATTTTTAAAGGTCTAAACAAAGTGGGCACAGTTAGTTAAGGGTTTGGTCCATACCTCTCAAGGGCGTGGGTTCAAACTCCGTCGGCGACCCTAGTGGGATACCGATGTCTAACCCCACCTAAACTTTTACTTGTACAAAAAAAAAAAGAAATTTTTAAAGGTATTGGCAACTTAGTAGGGTGAGGTTTTGGCTTAAATAGGTTAAATTTGTGTAAAATATTTTAGGTCTGATCTAGTTTGTTAGTAAATTATAAATCAGGTCATACATATATTTAAAAAATGAAAAACTTGGCCTAGGTTTATTAATTTGTTTAAGCCTATAATTAGATATTCAATAATTAAAAAAATAATTTAAATATATTACTTTACTATTCAAAATCATTAAAATAACAATTTTGCTTATTTTGTTTAAAATAAATAATGATATAAGCCAGTTTGAAAGCTTATAGGCCGGGTCTTGTAAGAGAAAGTCTATAACCTATTTTCTAAAAAAGTTTTTTTGAAGACTTGAGTCTGCTCTAATTTTTACTAGATATAATAGGTCAAGTCTGGCCTGATGTAGATTGGATTGTAGGCCCTAATAGACCCCCCGGCCCATTTACACTCTTATTGGCAAGTGTTGTATATGACTCATACTTCGCATTTAAATAACAACTTTTATAAGTCCCTGAAATCGTTGTGGCTTGATAATGTTGGGCCTTAGGTTCATTTTATTTTATTTCTCTTTTTATTAATTTGGATTTAAGCTTATGAATAACTGTTATTGCTTGAGGTTTCTAAATCTATTTATATTTTCTTTATAAACTAAGTGTTGTGTAACGAGTGTGGTGAGTAAAATATAATGTATATTGCAGGACGTAAAATAAATTTACGTCTTTATTTTTTCTTCTATTCTATCTTTAATTTCCGATTATATGTGACAACAATCACGTTTTAACCAAATCGTGATAACTCAGTTAGTAACAAGGGGCCTTGGTTTCATCCTCACACGTTACTTTTAGGAGGGATCTAAATATCTTCATCCCTGATCTGTCAGCATTTGAGTTAATCTCATAACCAGCTCAAAAAATCATAACTTGTAAAAATACTAGAAAAAGCCAACTCACATTAAAGAAATAATTAGAGTTGAATTAAAAAAAAAAAAAAAAACCATCACGTTTTAAAGGCGGAGAGCATGTAAGGCATTCCGTTAATTGACCACACACCTCGTACAGTGAAAATGATATGGGCTTTATCTAAACTATATATTAAAATAGTGAATTCTAGCAACAAAGTCCACTATAGTAGGTGGATAGTTAGGTCTCTTAAATATGTTGACAGGGATTCGATCCATAATTGTGTGTATGAAAAATACTTTATTGATAAAGGCAAAATTCACTTTGATAATTTCTACAAAAATAACTCTTCGATTATCGGTTAAGTACCATGAGAAAACTAAAAAAGAAATAGTGAATTCTACAAATTCTGTAATCACAATTATACACAAAGAAATAAGAAGCGAATAATAAAAAAAAGTCATTTTATTTCATTTAAATCAAATTTAATTACGTCATAATTGTATATAAATAACTAATTGCATCAAATAATATATAAATATAAAATTTCCAAAAAAAATAATATATAAATATACATTAATATAACTACAATCACTATAAGAAAATACTCTCGTTAATATAACTACAATCACTATAAGTAAATACTCGAGAGTATTGACTATTTGACATCAACGAATAACGTCTTTGTCAAATGGTTCTTTTATTTAATTTTCTATTTAAATATGAAACCAACACTTAAGAAAGTAACCGCGCATAACTGCTTAGTATTTTTTTAATCCATTTTATTTATTTTTATTTAGAAACTCCGCTATTTATAACTTTATTCTTCTTATGACAAAATTTTCAACTATTGAGATATATAGTTTCACATTGGTTGTATGAGCAATTAATGTGGAGTTTATAAGGCTTTGGACACTTCCACCCTTTGAGCTAGCTTTTGAGATGATATATCTCAAGGTTCTTTACATAGTATCAGAACCTCGAGTCCTGGTTTCAAACCTCGCCCCCCCCCACTTTCTCTTGTGGAATTTCTACCTCGTCGCTTCCCACTTTCTCTTGTGAAATTTCTAATGTGACCTTTATAAGATCTTAGACAATCTCACCCTTTGATTCTTTACACATAATACCAAAATATCATCAACTAGCTTGATTAAAAATGGGGAGTTGTTACGTGTCATGGCCTCAATGAATTATGAGATTACTTGGAGAAACTTGAGCGAACCTATCAATAGAAAACAGCCTACGGTGTCAAGACAATCCGTGTACCATATCACTTGCAACTGTTTTGTTTTTTTGCTTTTTGTTTTTTTAGCTCCAAAATTCGGTCGCGAATATGCAATGATTAATCCGATTTCGAACTAGGCTGGATTGTTAAATCACTGGTGCATAACATTTTCAGTGCTGTTTTGCTAATCAAATACTCACTTTTGAAATAAAAATGAGTTTTTTTTTTTTTTTTTTTAAGTATAACATAGAAGGAGTATGTAAAGAGAGAACCTAGAACCTAGGTTCAATTTCCACTAAATAGTTACGTGGAGAGTGAGGTCATTAAAATTAATTTAAAATTTTTTACAATAAAATGTAAGGTTTATCATATATCATTTAACATGACTACAAAAAAATTTTTACACACAAAATATTTTGTGAGGCCCACAGCAAAAAAAAAAAAAAAACTTTAACACGCAAAACAAATCCCTATAACATAATATAATCGTTTTTTCTACGAAATAACTCTTATCAAACTTTTTTTTTTTTTGTAAATATAGAGGGGCTAAGCCCCAGAAACAGAAATAAATTACAAATCAGAAACTAACAAGCTAGACATATTTCTAGCATCAGCAACTATAAGTTCCATCAACTGAGGAGGAGGATCTTTAAAAATCTTGAAATTGAGATTATTAGTCTGCCCAGCTTTAGCTAACCAATGAGCACATTTGTTGTTTTCTCTCTTGGTATGAACAAGACGAATAGTCCAATATGCTTTTAACCATAATCTCAATCTGCTAGTGACTTGAGAGTCCCTAGGATCTTCATGCTGCTCCTTTAACATCTGGATGGCTTGACTAGAATCACATTCTAGCTCTATTCTTTTTAATCCTGTTCCCCAAAGCAGTTCCAAACCTTTCAGTAATCCCCATAATTCTGCATCAAGCGGATTGAAGGAACCTAAATTACAATAGAAGCTTCCCAAAAAGGATCCATTGTGATCTCTTATCAAACTTTAAAATGTATGGCGAAGACAAGTCTGTTACTTTGGTTCACAACTTTTCATTCTACCTTTGCCTTCGTGGTGGTCGGTGGTTGGAATAGTCTTTGTCGTAATGAAAGAGACTATCATGGCAAGGACCATATCATGATTTTCGAGCCTCGTGTCGGGTGACTAGCGAACGCTGGCTTGTTCGAGATTAGAAGGAAGCATTTGAATTAATCCAATTTTCTGGAATGTGAATACCACTGGACAGAGACAAAAGTTGTCAAACAAAGCTGGTATTCTTTTGGTGTATATATATAGATTCCAACTTCTCGTGTTATTGCAATTTTTTTTTTCTTATTCAATAAATTATAATTATATATTAAAAATAATATATAATTATAATATTAAAGATATTTTTCTTTCTCTGTTATGTCAGTTGACAGCTTTTAAAGAAAAATTAAAATTACTATATATTACTCTTAATACATAGTTATAATTGATTGGTGTAAAAAACTTTCTTCATAACAACATGAGAAGTGATTTTGTGTCTTTCTCACACACACATATATATATATATAAAATTATACTCTTATGTTACATAAGATTCATCACTCATATTACATTCACATATAAAGATATGCTTTACTTTTTTTTCTTTTTTTAAAATTTGATAGACTCCACTTAATTTATCTCATAACATAAAATAACTTCTCTCCTACAACATGAGAGAAGTAAAGCCCTATATATATATATATATATATATATATATATATACTCCCTGCTTTCTGAATCGTTCCTCGTCAAGGTATCAGATCCATCGTCGTTTAATCTGCTGTTAAAGTCCTTGTTTGATGACTGTAAGCACTAAGCAGCTACTAATCTCAATAGCAAAAAATGTAAAAGAAAACGTGCACAATTGCAAATCAATCAAGCACTCTTAACAAAGAAAATATTTTCAAGCATTCTTAACAAGAAAATATTTTCGACATTTTTATGTACGAAAAGCAACATTTATTTAAGTTAATAAAGAATAATTCATCTAACTATATTTTACTTATTTCTTTTTGATTAATGTTAAACAAGCCCCACATTATCCTATTTTTCACAAAAGGAGTATTTCCACCCATAACATTAAAAATGTGTTTCTTAACATACCTCCCGCACTAGGTAGGGAGAGTCCATAGCGGGGGACTACCATCTGCGGACTAATCTAAATCATCCACATCAAGTAGATTACAATATCTCAACCCAAAAATTGAAATCATTAGATTTATGGATCCTCTCACTTATATGAACTTCACTTAGCTCATTATCAACTGATTTGAAACTTTATGACACATGAATATCGCACCAATCTTCCCCTTAAGTATGAATCCTACATTTATATGCTCCCCTTCGACGGAAGCCTAACCCGACTCTAAAACCAAGGTCCAACGAGTTGGGGGAAGCCAATGATAGGAACACCACCAATGAGCTAAGCTAACCTAACCATGGCAAGTCGGCTCGATTATCAGACGGGACAAGGGGAGCTCGTGGCGATGGACCATTACCAATGGATTAAAGCTACATCAATCGTAGCAAGTGAATCCGATATTATGATGAAGGATATCGTAAT